CCAATACTTCAAAAAGATTTCGGTACCCAATACTTCCTTTTCGGTACCCGATTCTCTACATTAAACCTTCGCCATCATATCGAGGGCTTATATTCAATACCCTCTATCAGCACTTTTCACAAAAATGAGATTTTGATATAAAAATCCACCTGAGACTTAACTGTCATCGGTGATATTAATGCTGACCCTTTACAACGCGTGACAGTGATGACAGGTAAGCCCCAGATGGGTTCTAATATCACAGATAGAGAGTTTGAATATAAGCCCTTGATATTTATTTCATGTAAAAAAATTACATTACAGAAATTTTTATGATATCGGCTAAAAAAAGCTCTATTGGCTAAACCTCTATTGGCTCCTACATTCCCATATTTTGGCATATGGGTATTTCCATACGTCGCATACGTGACAGTCGTACGTTTCAATGAGATCTATATTTAACCGAAAAATTAAAACAATCGAACAACATGGTCCTTAAATATAAACAATTAAAGAGAGTGTCATTACGTGACCAAAAAATGGAAGTTGATTTTTTCGTTTCTTACAAAATCGCAAAACACCGCGAATTGTGGATGGCTCTTTTCATGAAACTAGTTTTAGTATGATTTGGAGGAATTCTAGTTGTTTTTAGAGTTTTCAGAATTAATGCAACTTATTTCAATTGTCTTTTATAACCCCAAGTGTGAAACGTCACATGACATACATTTACATCCTTATATTTTTGTGGATATTGCTTTTAAATGAATTTTTAACGCAAATAAAACATGCAGTTTATGTCGAATATACCATACATCTTGACTTTAGCGCCAATTAAGGACAAATTTTTTGGAAATCTATGATTTATTATGTTTCAACTACATACATACGCCAAAATCGAACCAATCGGGCAATGGGTTTTCGAAATATCTCAACCTTCGCGCCACCTAGCAAACCATTTTACGCAAAAGTGTTTCTACTTATATAGCCAGTATATATTTAAAGAAGCAGACAAATTGGCCCATAAATACGTTAGATATATAACTTTTATTTTTTTTTTCGCGGTAGACCTTCCGATGGAAACACCCACATGTGCGCTTTTATTAGAAAAATAAATATTTCGGTACCAAAGAACGTAGATAACAAGAAGGGACAACTCGTTATAATTGTGGCGAAAGTGCGCAACAGGGGCGTGCCTTCTCTTTTCATGAAATCAAAAAACGTACTAGGGAAAAAGAGAGGGCACGCCCCTGTTGCGCACTTTCGCCACAATTATAACGAGTTGTCCCTTCTTGAGAATATGAATTGTCAAGTCGGGAATGCTCTATTTATTGGTCCGATTTCGACCGATAGTGAATTATTTTAATCGAAAGTCCATTTCAGAAAAAAGTTTCCGTCACTTTCGTCCTCAAAATCTGACTTGGTTTTTATTTAATTTTCACTCATTTAAGGAGTCCAGGACGATTTAAAGTTCGAAGGTCATTTAGCGGCTGAAAAAGGTACTTCCGAGAAAAAAGTTTTAAACACGTAAGTATTTTTATCCTAAGAATCCGAATCTGTAGTGAAAACATGTAAGTATGTCTAATTAAAAAAACCGGAAGTCGGTAGTTCCACCGGAAGATAGAACATCCCTGATTTGGTTGCCATGGATGATCGACCTATCCCGGCAGCTAGCGCGAAAACGCTCTATCTCAAAAAACTGTTTAAGAACCCCCTATTTCAGAATTCGTTTCAAAAACGCCCTGTATCAGCACATTTTCACTACATTTTGACGTGAGATAGGGCGTTCTCAAACAAATTCTGAGATAGGGTGTTTTTCAATAAAATTCTGAAATAGGGCGTTCTTGAAAAATTGTTTGAGATAGGGCTGTCAAAATAGGTCGATCTTCCACTCAGCAGTCGATATACATAAGGTTGGTATGAGTGTCAGATTTTGTACTTGATTTCACGATAAATATGGTGTCATAACTTTATGTAATAATTGTAAATTTGCGACTAAATTAAATGATTCATAAGTTAATTTCGGCGATATTAAATGGTTTTCACTGACCATTTTTATAAGGCAAAATTAAGCACGAGCCCGAAATCAAGATACATATGTACACAACGATGTCGTAAGTGTCGTATTGATGTATATCGAAAACTTCAAAAACTTACATAAATGGTCAAGAAGACCTAAAACTACAACTAACTATTTGTTAATACTATGCAAATTCATAATATGACTTTTATGGTGCCTTGCGAAACCCCTTAATATAGTTTTAGCCGTTAAAAGTTTACCACATACAATAATAGGACACTTACGACACCGTTTTCAGAATAAAACCATTTTTCTTTTCCCTTTTCCGTCTCGATGTTAGGTGGATAATCCAGAAACGAGCAAATATCGAGCTTATCTTAGAAAATTAGCGAATGCTAAAACCAAAGTAGTGATATTTTTGACTAAACCAATGAACTTTGAAACAATAAGTCAATAATAAACATGTTTGAAAAATATTTAAAGCATATTAAATATTTATTTATTGCCTAAAGCGTCTTTTAGAAGTAATTATTACCATTTTTTCTTAAAAGAATTTAATTCCAGCTTGTTTTACGAAGAATTAGGTACTGTACATACGTAAGTATGCATTAATCCGAATAGTAGACTATTTACTAAATTAAGTTTGAGACTAATCTGAATTTAGGTACATTCGTTTTTTCGTGTATAATGATTATGTAAAGTACATATGTATGTATATCCAATTCTATCCCACTAAAACAATAATGATCTTTATCGTTTTTTCTCATTATTTAGTAATCGTTAATATTATCCAAATATTAAATAATGTTTTTTGTATTAAATATTTGAAGCATCGTTGTTATTAATAAAGTGTATTCAATAATAATATTCTAAAGCGTTCATGCTGAACTTTAAATGCTCATTTAGCAATTTCGAACATTGATTTTTCGAAGCGTGTTCATACTGCCGCATTCAACAAATGTACATTTTTAATAAAAAGTCGCGTTCCGGCCGTTTATTAAGCTCCGTATCTATAACGATAAATTCGGACGGGAAAGAAAACTGCCCAAAAAGGGGAAAAAATGTTGAAAAAAATAATTTAATTTATTATGTATTTATAAATTGCACTTTGTGTCCATGACCGAAAATTTGTTTGTGTGTGTATTCTGTTGTCCATGCTACCAATTAAAATTGGCTAAATTAATGGATGAATGAAACCAAATACAAATTGAGCCAGACTTGCTTGAATAATATAAAAGTAGGTTTACATATAAATATAATCTCAATCAAAGCCCGTTTTTTAATCAGCCCGTTCACACAGGCAAATCTCAGATTATTCTTCTTCTTCTTCTTTTTTGGCGCTGTAACCGCCTAAGCGATTTTGGCCGAGTTCAGCAAAGCACGCCAGTCGTTTCTCCTCTGTGCCAACTGACGCCAATTGGAAACGCCAAGTGAAGCCAAGTCCTTCTCCACCTGATCTTTCCATCGCAGTGGGGG